CGAACGTATTCAGGTGCTCGCGGGAAAGTGAGTGTGCCTTTTCCTGCGATTATTATCATCGCATATGTATTTTCAGTTCGACGTACACCGGCGCCACCCACCTATTCTGTCACTACACCCATCGTCTTCTAACCCTGCATATATCGCCCATTAACCCGGTGGCCTTTTCGTGCAGAACATTCACCACTTCCCATAGTCGATGTTTCCTTGTGCAAAGGGTAGACGTGTGCGGTAGCTTGATTTTTATCACTATCTGCGAAATCTCACGCATATATTTGCAGCGCAACATTGCAGCTGGTGCTTTCAGCTCTGACAATGGCTGAATACGTGACGAAGACCATGGTACTCCCTCGGGCAGCATCATTTGTGATCATTATGTTGGTCAATGGATCTGCCAGAAGGTGTCCTTCTTGCGGCAGCAACCAGTCAATACTGACATGTTGCACATCACTTCCATGTGGGCCTAGGTAGACCGTATTAACCACACACTGCGCGTCACAACCGCCGCTTATCGTTTGAAATTGCGTAGTTCAGAAACGAATTGCCTCGAAAAATGTTGCTTTACCACCTTGTCTGATGGGTTTGAATGGTCCCTTCCGGTATCTAGGGGGAAACACTGGATCCTCGACATTGAACACCGACACTTCATTGCGTGTATGCACGAATTCACAGGATAGTATGGAACAACATTAACATTGCGACAGGCCTCTGGATGTGACAATAATATGGAACGATATACCTATGGCTACGTGATAAATTGCTGGGACACATCCAAGGCTATCCTCCCATAATTTGCTGATAACTTGTTCTGCGGGACCGCACATCATGTCCTGCGTGACCAAGTACGCACTGATCTATTGTACAGTGAGTGCATGGTGTGCGGTTATCAAATACCTCAAAAATAGCAGGTCAAAGAGGGCAATATTATTGCCGCACGCGAATATATGTCAACTGATAAGTCATGCACAGCGTGTCGAAGTAAAGAGTCCTCGTACTTGACGAGAAGACGATCGTGAAAAACATGAGTCGAGCTTTAAAGTAACGACAATATGTCAAACTCACTGCTCGGGAGGCTGCGTTTATCTGCTGGTTCTAGACAGACGCCAGAGACTTGAGGGAGGAATGCTCGATATCGACGAATGTTAGCCGCGGTGGTAGAAGGATATAGTAAGCCGATTCATATGTGCTTGCAGACATGTGGGGCACAGAAGTCTGGAGGGTGGACAGACACGTTTCGATGACCTGAAGAAGGGGGGTCGACCTAAAACAAAGACATATACCACGCGGGTGATAAAAGGGATAACTGACGTCATTCAACGTACCGACAAGCTGAGACAGGGCTTTGTTATCTACCACAGCCTTCAAAGTTAACTTGAAGTGAGGGCGTATGCTGCGCAACCATCGAACCGTGACTGAGCGAGGAGGAACTTATTTGATTGAAAGTAGCGACTCACCTCTACTAGGAATTAATGGTATGGTCCCCACCACAAGAATTAGGTGGTCATCCAATTTCTTCCACGTGTACAAGGTACGTGATACCAGTAGCTATATTGAATCTGAGACCTGAGCACTGGGGGTTGAAATGTTGCAACGTTTGGCGCTTCAGCCGGAAAAAAACCAAAAGTCGTTGACGAATGCTCTAGGCTTTCACTTCAATGGCTCTATTTGCTTCTATTTACTCTAGGTTATCATCAGAGAATTCGTGAGTGTACCCAGGGTGCTTTACGTTGATTGCGGTGGTTTTCCGACGTTCTACATGGCTTTTATGACTTTATATTCCAATATAAAGAAAATCTTTCCTATATATGATCATATATCGGCATATATGACAATATCTTCGGTTCACGAGTCCTCTGATGATCATACTCATTTCAATCATGAGGTTGAGCGTTGCGTTTTACCGCATAGCTTTGAGCTCAATTAACAAGCGACCATCAATAGATCTCTGATTTATGGCTTCCTATCAGCAGGGGCATGTTCTTCCACATGCACTCGGCGCAACACATTAGAAGCTATGTGATAACTGTACAGCTTGTTGGCGACATAGAAGCTTCTGGTATTAGGTCTGATTCGTGCTGGCCTCATGTTTGTCTCGGCAAGTACTATAAGACCCCACTCGCTACTTGTATCCGAATCATCCACCCTCCCTGCAGAGTTCTCATTACTGTATCCATAGCACTACAACTCATCGAGGTAAGCGAACCTTCGAGCTCCGCAGCCTATAGTCAGTTAATCTCGGTCTACTACTAGTAGGTCGCACCGCACGTAGACGGAGAACACGTTAGCGCGCAGCCCTTCTCAGTGTCAATCCCCCCCCTTTTTTGTTGGCGCAGCATGTACCCAGATGCTGCTCAAGGCCTAGGTGCTATTCTAGGCGTAGTAGGTGCTCTTGCAGACTCGGACTCAGGTGGTACTCCGAATCCCCACCCACATATCCCTGTTCCAGGACCCGTCCCGGCCTCACTTCTTATTATATCTTTGGGATACAAACTCTGGGTAACAAGAAGGGAGCTAGCCACAACGTCACAATCACTTAATACGGCGAGACACAATATTGAAGTAGAAAAACGAGCCAGTGGTGCTGCAAAAAGAACAGCAGAAAATGCACAGAGGCGTCAGGAGGAAGCTGAACGGGCGAGGTCCGCAACAGAGCGTCGGTGGTTTGAAGGAGTTCGCCCCGAGTGCCGTCCGTCGAAGGAGGATATTGTTCGGATGAAGGCAGCTTATCATTACAGCCCAGACTTCCTCCACATCGCTGTCGTTGGCTCTTCTGGAGGCGGAAAGTCATCCTTTATTAATGCCGTCCGGGGCCTGTCCAACAATGACCCCATCGCCGCTCCTACGGGGATTGTTGAAACTACCGATGCGGTCACGAGATACACTGATCCATGCCAAGACTCCAAGATCTTTTGGTATGACGTTCCCGGTGCGGGCACTCCGAATATGCCTGACTGGCAGTACTTCAATAACTTGGGCCTCTACATCTTCGACTGCATCATTGTGCTAATCGACAATCGTTTCTCGGACTCAGACCTCGCAATTCTCCAGGCTTGCGAGCAGTTCACCAACATTGAGGTGTTCATTGTTCGCTCCAAGTCAGACCAGCACATCAACAACATGGTGTTGGACAGGATGCCACGAGGGTTCGACCCTTTTCATGCTGATGACGAGTCACGCTCTCGTTTCCAGCAGGTCAAATCAGAAATTCGGAGAGAGTTCATCGACAAAACGTACCAGAATGTGCAAACGAACCTTGAGAGCAACAATATCCCTCCCAAGAGAGTTTACATTGTTTGCAAGGACGCTGTGCATGCGATATGGAATAACTCGCCTTCACCCATGGCAATTGACGAGGAAGAGCTTCAAAATGATGTTGCAGAATATGTGCGTAGGCGTCTGCATAGGAATGTTCAAAATTAGGTCAGATCGTCTCGCTCGATCGTCTGTTACGCAGCATGTTATCCCGATTCCCTTTGATCTTTGTTGGTTTTTTTTATTTTTTTATTTCTCGTCAGACTGCACACCTGTGGATGTGGGTGCATGTGATAATCACATCTCCGAACGTATTCTTTGACCGATTCAGATTCCTGTCTACTACATGTACCATATCGTAGCGGCGTACCAGTATCCAATCAACTCGCTATCGTATGCGAATAAGGGCCGAACTCATGTTACCCAGGCTCTGAGGAAGTCAGCCAATCAACATGTAAGATGGCGCTCATCCCTGGACCTTTCATGCACCCTGGAGCCGGGTATGAAATGATAAAGTGATACAGCATGTTAATAATACAAGTAATAAGTGTTCTACGGGAGGGGGACTCAATCATCGACATCCCACTTCGGAATCGGCAACCTAGGAGGCAGTTTCTGCCATCCAGTGGCTGCCTCAGCAACGGCAGGAACATCCTTTACGATCATCGACTGCCCCGGTTCGTAGCTGCATGAAGCACTCAAGCTACTAGCGATGGACTCTCGCGAGTCAGCTGCACGAACTCGGATTTCTACCTCGATAGCATCTGGTTGTGAATGCTGAGCAGAGCGTTGCTTGTCTGGTCGCAAGGAGTTCTTCAGAGCATCGATAGAAAAGGATGGGGACAAAGGAGAAGGGGCCGGTGAAGACCCTGATGAGCCAAAGAATCTCCTAGCTGGACTCTGTCGAAAACCGTCACTGAAAGTAAGATTTTCTATGCAAAACGATACGTACCTTTGGACTGTACTGGACACTCGGCCTATTCTTGGGAAATGGCGTGCACTTCACCTTTAAACGCAAACGGTTTAGGCGACGAATCTCGTTTGGAGCCGAATCGAGCATTTGTTTTTCGGTAAGAGATTCGTTGCTGAGAGCAGTGAGTGTGTGATCATCTTCTGAGTTGGAGGCATCGTTGGTGGCACTCGACTCGGCGCAAACGTCTCCAAAGGATGAGAAGTCAGGAGGAAGGTGCAAGCTTACGTGCGGGGGGTGCGGTAGATTTAGGCTGGATAGTAGACAACTTGTCAGCGAAGAGGAGAGAGGGCCAGAGAGGAATGCTCACCATTGAGCTGTAGAGGGTTTAGCAGTGAGGAGCCTAATGAAGTTCTGCACATTTATTATACTCCCCATGTCGTCCATCCGTGGCTGGCTGTGGACTGTGCACGTACCTAACTAGCCACGAAATCCATAAAACACAATAGTCGTCCCCTTGGCAAATCTAGCAGCATCGCGTCAAAGGGACTCAAGCAAAGCAACTCAAAGGCGGAATAGAGACGCGTAATAAACAAACATAAACAATCGATTGGCGCAGAACTTACATGGAATTCAACAGTCAGGGGACCCAAACCGTCCTCGCGATGCCGAGTCCAGCCTTGTTCACCTTTTTATCGAAGCTGTTCTCAAAATTGCCACTTGGGGGCCCATAGAAGCAGTCAGGATTCAGGATGGAATGTTTCAAATCTCCAATATCACTGCCGCAAAGTAAGCACAATCGTCAAATTACACTTCATTCTCGTCTCATCCATACTTGCTTCTCAAATAGACCGTCAATGTCATACGAACATGTCTTGGCCCGAAAGCTGTGCTCAAGGGTGAGGCTAATAAACGATGGAAACATGATTCTCTTTGAATTGATGTTACATACCTTGCAGCAGACAGCATGATCGAACCAGTTGTACTACGAACGAAGAATGCGGCGATGTGTTATCATCCCAGGTGCCTTCTCAGTTCTTGAAATCATATTATTTTCTAATCATCCCGTAGCGAGAAAAATCCTTAGGTAGTCACTTTTTCAGCACGGATGCGACATCCACCCTGCTGTGGAGTTCTTCTGGTGACCTACACATCATGAATATGAGCACCCGCTATGAAAATAGATGTCTTCACACCCCTGCGCATTAAGAGGCGTTTCCTCCCGTATTCCGCTCGCTCTGCTGAGTACCTACTTCTTACTCAGCAGGTTCGTTGCATAGTCGTCTGAACCATTGGTCAACATTGTCGTTTACATAAGAAAGTCCAGCAAGATATCCGTTCTTGTTTTAATTGATCGAAATGAATACTTATCGTCGCACGAAGCCAGGTAGAAAAGGAAATTTAA